CTTCACCTCTGCCCTTCTTCCCAGGGAGACCGTCCTGCCATTGTCACAGCCCATCTCCCAGCACCCCTCCCCTGACCAGCCTGCCCAAGGACATCAGAACCCTCTCAGGGCTGTGCAGGGGGCAGGAGGTTCCCGGGGGCTCTTACTTGGTGGCCACTCTGCTGGGCTGGCTCAGTGGGCCTTGAAGGTGGGGAGGAAGAGGGTGATTTCGCTGAGTGCTCATCACAGCCTCTCATGAGATCCTCCACACAGCTCCAAGACAGGGCGTATCATCCCTGTCACAGGGAGAGGAAACTGAGGCAGGTCCCTCTGCTCCTTTCCCCATGCCTGGAGTCCCAGGCAAACACTTGAGGGACAACAGGGGGCTCAGCCTGGGCCAGGCTCTGCTTGGGGACACCACTGCTCTGCCTCTAAAAGACACTCAGATCTCACTGCTTCTGGGAAGCCACCTGGCACCCACGATGCAGCAGACCCCACTCCTGCCCCGAGCCTTTATGCAGAGAGGCTGGGGACCCTCCAGGCCCCTCCGTGTCTGCTGGCACCAATGCCAGCCCTGCATCCCTGACTTCAGAAGGGCTGAACCTTCCAAATGGCCCCACTCCGCAGACACATAGCCGCCCACAGCTCCCTGATCCTGCAGCATTTATTCTCTGTGCACTGGGCTCAGCTGGGTCGGTCCCCCTGCTGCTTTAACTACTCCCACCCTGCATGTCCTGCCCTGCTGCTCCTCTGCCCTGCCAGCCCCTGCCATGCAGGATGAGTCCTGAGTCACTCATGTGTTGTTTCTTAACTACAGTTTATTATCTCCTGCCCACTGCAGTGGACACTTCTGTAGCCAGGGCTTTGCCAACACCTGGGAGGAGAGCAATGGGATTTAGGCTATGCAAAGAGCTTCTTGCTCCTTGAGGGAACCCCAAGGGAGGCACCAGAGGAGTGGCCGGGGCAAGATGGGCCTCCCAGAACCCAGCACCGCTGCCCCCTCTCCCCAGCCCAGAATACAGACGCTTTCCAACCACAGACATAGACTCCTGGGCCCCTGCCTTAAAAGCACAGCCTCAGAACAGTGGAATCAGAACACTGCAGGGCTTACAACTCTGGCTCCATCATGTGGAGATCAAACTGTGCTTGAATTCCTCTAGTGATGGGCAGCTCCCACCTTCCTCCTTCCATCTTGGCAGCTAAGTCCTGCAGCCTGAGCTCTACCCCTGCCTGCTGAGCCCCTTAGGCCACTCCTGAAGTCTCTGAGGTGAGTGAGCAGCACATACGGCCCCAATGCCACAGCCCTTTCTACCAGAGTGGGGCCTTTCAGACAGGTGAGAGCCGCGCCCTGCAGCAGGCCTGCCTGGACTCCCGGAGATGACCGGGTGACTCAGCTGTCCCTGTGGCTGCCTCCCCTCCCAGAGTGTTTGTCGTGGAGATGTAATCGATCCTCTGGCCTGGGAACTTGGAGAAGTGGGCGTATTTGCCCAGCCTTGTGCCTTGGGACATAGAGGGGAATGGAGTGTCCTGACTCAGCAGGCAGGGGCCGCCCCACCCCCATCAGGTGGGAGAGAAGCTTGTGGCCTTGGCTTTGTTAGCTCAAGGGAGCAGAGAGGGCAGGCAGAGGCAGCCTACTTGGTGCCCACTCGGTGCCCACCAAGCTCAGGCCATTCAGCGTCTGCTGAGGGCCCCAGCGCACCAAGGACTTTTAGGGCAGCCCCTTCAAATGGACAACTGAGGCTGAGAGGGACAATGTAGAGGCTGCCCTCGAACCTCCCTCCCTCCCTCCCTCCCTCCCTCCCTTTCTTTTTTGCTTTTTGGTTTTTGTTTTTGTGATGCTGGGGATTGAACCCAGAGCCTTCACACTGAACTCCATCCCCAGCCCTCCCTGTTTAAAATTTTAAATTTTGAGACAGGTTCTCACAAAGTTGCTCAGGCTGGCCTCAGATTTGCAGTTCTCCTGCCTCAGCCTCCTAGCATGCTGGGATTATAGGCACGTGCCACCATGCCGGGTTGGAATATTCTGTTGGTCAGCTGGACCCTTGTGAAAGACTCCACGAAAACCTCAGGTGCCTGAATGAAGCCCCGGCCCTAGGAAAGGTCCAGGAGCAGTATCAAGGCTCCACAGCTCTGGGCTCCCACCTGATAGTTTCCTCCTGGCCAAGCACAACTTGAAGACAGCTGAGGGTTGGGAGCCAGTGCCTCACAGGCCCTCCGCCCAGGGCCCAGACCTTGGGCCTGTGGGACAGCAGTGCTTGCTGAAGGCCAGAGACCTAGGCATTCAGGAGTGACAGTCCCTTCATCCTTCCAGAACCTTCCAGAATCTTGTCAGCTGGGGGGAGCTTCCTGGCTGCCCAAATTCCATGCCCATGGTCCTTCAGAGCACTTCTGCTCTTCCCTGCTTTCCTGTCCTCCCTCCAGGGAGCCATGACTGAGCACCCACTCTCCCCCCGCCCCTACCCCTGGCCAGGCTCTAGGCCTCTCAGTTCCCCACCCCTGTTCCCTCCCTACAGCCTGTGCTCCTGTCCTCCTGCCCCTCATCCTGGCCAGGGGCTCACTGAGGCGAGCCAGGTCTCAGACTCAGCCCTGAAGCCACCCTTGGGCAAAGGTGTGTAGGCCAGGGAAGGACCCCTCTGTCTGGAACTTGGAAGACGTCCAGGACTCCAGACCCCAGCCTGCATCCCCTCCATCTGCCACCTCCTCCCAAGGCCACAGGTCTCCTTTGGTGGCTATAGAACTCCAGGTGCACTCAGAAAGGCAGGGACTCGACCAGAGAGGAAGTAGGGCCCAAGTGAGAGCAGGGCCAGGGCTGTGCCCCCAGAGAGGAGCTGGGGGAGACGGGTGCTCGTCCCGGGCTGCTGCCCAAGCCTCCTATAGACTCACAGCCCCTGCACCTTCCTCTCCTGGGCACCCAGCCTGAGACTCCCTGGACCCTCAAGGCACCAGGCCTGTGCTGGGATGCCCGGCTCATCACCTCTCCCTCTCTGGGTCCTCCAAGTCCAAGGACCTAGGCAGGCTCAGTGCCAGGGAAGATTGAGGAGGCCACAGCCTTGCTGCCCAGCTCCCACAGTGGAGGAGGAGGAAGAGGAGGAGGCTCAGGACATTGCTCGGGTGAGGCCCAGGTGAGTTCCCAGGTGAGCCTGGCACTCAGCTCCTCCGACTTCCTGTTTATCTGAGCGCTGTTCCCCTCTCCCCACCAGTCCAGTTCACCCAGCTGCCTAAGTCACATCTCACCTGCTGCTTCCCTACCTGGTCTTTCTTGTTCTGTCCTTGGTGGAGATAGTGCCACCTGTCACCTCCCCTCTGAGACCCCTCCTAAGCCATTCCCTTCTTGCTCATCTCTGTATGGCCTTGGACAAGGTCCCTGGGCCTCAGTTTCTCCACTGAGGCATAGGAGCAGAGTAAAAGGAAGACCCCAGAGGCCTGAGCTCAAATCCTGGGTTGGCGTCTTACCAGCTGTGTGATCTTGGACAGCTCCTCATATTCTCTGGGCCTCAGTTTCTCCATCTGTTTCAGGGAACTGGTGCTGACTGACTTGGGAAAGGGCCATTACCCAGGCTTCACACAACTGCGGGCCTCCCAGACCTGGTAATGGGAGGGCTCTGTGTTCCTCAGAGCTACACGTTTCTGTACCTTTAGTCTGTGTGGGGCAGACGCACTCACAGAAATGGGACCCCTGAGAGAGCCAAGCCTGTGGAAGATGCTCTCCCCATCTTCACGGTGGCCTATGCAAGGGCTGGCTGTGGGCAGAGCTGCTATGGGAAAGGGAGATGCGTGGTCACTGTCCCTACTGCTCTGGGCCATCCTAGCTATAGTGTCCCCAGAGCCCACCTGGCAAAGGGCAGGAGCCCTGTTGTGCCTTGAGGTCCTGCACTGTCCCTGAGGGCAGAGGATGGGCCACCTGGGCAGGGAGCCAGCAGGCACCCTAAAGAGGCAGAGAGAGCATGGCCGGTGAGCTGAGGGCATCACAGTGTGGGCACCGGGGCTGGCCTGGTCAGGACCTGGGGCCAGGCTGGGGGTGAAGGCTCCCTGCCCCCCAGGGCTCCCGGAGGATGTGCGGCAGCCCCAGGAGGCTGGGCTGGGCTTGAACTGCAGCCAGGCAGTAAGCGCTGTCTGGGCCCTGGGGCCGGGCATCTCAGGCTCCTTCCTCATTCTTGGCCCTGTGGGAGCAGCCGGACCCCGCGATCCGCTGCTGGGGATTGGTTCACTGTCTCATGGGGAACCAAGGCCTGCTGCCAACTGCGCAGCCCTGGTCTGGGCCCCATGCATGCCACTGAGTCCTGGCCCTGGGCCATCTGCTGCCCTCAGATGAGGAGACTGAGGCCAGTCACCAGGGAGGGCCAGGAAGGGACCTGGGTGCAGCTCTGAGTCTTGTCTGTCCCTGGGGGAAGGGTGTGTCCCTGAGAAGCCCACCTGGAGGCGCCTCCCCTGGGCCTCGGGTCTGAGGCTACGCTCTGTGGGTGCCCAGCTGGGCACTGTGGGGACGGTGCTGTTTGATCAGCGGTTCCGCCCGATGCCAGGCTGCCGGGACAGTGGGCAGTGGCCAAACCGGCCCCACCGCATGCCTTCCGGCCCTGGGCAGGAATGCTATTCACGCAGGCTTGCACAGTTACCGGTTAAGGGCTGGGCCTAGGGGAGAAGTGGCAGGGCCAAGCGGGAGCCCCCAGGACCTCAGACACGGCAGGCTGGACCCAGGCCCCTGAGCCCAGACTGCACCTGGGGGTGGAAGGAGAACAGGAGAACAGACCAGATCCTGCTCGGACCCTGGGCCTCCCATCCCTGCAGCCTGAGCCAAGCCCCACAGCGTCCGGGCAGCCTCAGGATTGTCCGGGCAGCCTCAGGATTGTCCGGCCCAGGACCTTTCCAGGTGCCAGAGGCCAGTAAGCTTGATGGAGGCCCAGCTGAGGCCTGGGCAGGCATCTCAGGGTGGGGCCGGGAGTGCGGGGCCCTCAGCCCAGGGAGTGGGGAAGAAGCGAGAACAGCCACGGTGAGGTTGTCTAGGGGCAACACACACTCACTGCTCCGTTTCCAGCGTTTATTAGGACCAAGCGCTCCCCTCCAGGGGAGGCCAGCAGCACAGCCAGCAGAAGTGGGCACTTCCGGGATGCCCAGTGCCCGGCCACCTCCAGCCCTGCACACGGTGTGGGAGACCGGTGCCTGCCTGGGCCATGCTGTCCCCCACGCCTGGGAAGGCCCCCTCGAGGGACGGCGGGCTCGGCTGGGGGCCTGGTGCTCCAGAGACAGCGCGAGGGCCTTGGTGGCATCGGCCCCAAGGGTCACTTCAAGCAGAAGGAGGAGCCTGGCTGGGGGCACGGCCTTGGCCACCCCTCCCCTCCGGTACCCAGTGTAGGTCACAATAACTTAAAAGACACTATAGACATCTGGACGCTATATAACAGCATAAGTTACCCGGGCTCCTCCGCGGAGGACGCCGGCCTGTGGACTCGGGGTGTCCCGGGACTGGGGTGAGGCAGGGCCAGGGTGGGGAGGGGCATTCACAGCAGCCCAGAGGGTGGGTGTCCTGGCATCGTCAGACCTGTGGGCTGGACGCAGGGCACCCAGACGGGGTCACCTGCCCCAGGCCAATGTTCAGGCCCAGGGGCACACGGAGGGCACAGAGAGCAGGGGTAGGGTGGTGGCTTCGAGCCATTCGCTGGCTTTGGGCAGGTCCCACCCTCAAGGCCTGTCTCCTCGGGAACAGAGTGGGAGCCCTGCAAGGATGGCCCAGGCCTGAGCCCAGCTTCCCGTTCCATCCCGTCTTCAAGGTTTTAGGGGAATTGCCTGGGAGGAGAGGGTTCGCACAACCTGGGGAGACGTCCGGAGAGCAAGTGTCCCCAGATGGCAGTGGGGACCCTGACAGTTGCCCCTAGCCCTGCCTGCCAGTTTTTCCAACACTGGGTTGGCGCAGAAGGACAAGGTCAGGGCTCTGGGAACCTCAAAGGCACTGTGAGGGTGTTCGTCCCCTGAGGCAGTGGCCAGGAAGAGAGCAGCTGGGTCTCTTGGGGGGGGGGGCGCTGCTGGACATCCTGGGTGGGGACTAAGGCAGGAGCACCCACTCGCAACTGAAGGGTCTCTGGCAAGTCCCGGCTCAGTCCCCTCTGGGCTTCAGCGTCCCCATCTGTCAGGTGGGACCAGCATTCGGGGCCACTCCCCGCCCCAGCCCTGCCGTCCTGGGGGTCAGGCTGGCTCCAGGGTGGGAGGACTCTGTAAACTTCAGGTGCCAGGCCAGTGGCTGGCCAGGAGTGTGAAGGACTAGGGAGGGGACCGGGCACTCCTGGAACCTGGCACAAGTGACATTTTGATTTTTGTGACATGATTTCCCAAAAGAAAGGGAAGCCGGGCTGTGCTCCGAGGTTCTCTCCTGCTAACCCCTGGCACCTGGGACCTGCCGGCGGGTGGGGGGGGGCAGGGGAGGCCAGCGAGGGGGATCAGGGGCCGGGTGGACACGGAGTGTGAAGTTAGGACTGGCTACGCATTTGTTAGTGCCGAGAGCCCTCTCCCGATGCTAAGAGAGCATAAATAACATTGTCAGTCTCCCACGTCCACACTGCCCTGGGGCTTCGAGTGTGACAGACTAGAACGCCCTTTCTGTGTCCAGCCACCGGGCAGGGAGGGGACCCTCAGGGTCTGGTCGCAACTCTGTGGTCTGGGGCACGTTTGCAACCTCAAGGTTCGCTGTTGGTTCCCCGCTGGGACCCCAGGACCCACGACCTTGGGCGCCGGGTGGATCTCGGGCAGGGTGCTGCCGGGGAGGTGCCCCTCACTTGCAGGTGAAGACTTCGGTGCGCTCGCTGCAGGTGCTGCACTTGACATAGCAGCACCAGTGGAACTTGCAGTTGCACTGCCAGACCCTCGTGTACTGGTGCGTGTTGTAGCCGCGGCCACAGCACATGGCGTCACAGCCATCCGCGCCCAGCGAGGTGCGGTTGCACAGTCGGCCCTGCGTGCCCACGCTGCCCGTCGCCACGTCCTCCTCGCAGTAGTTGGGCGACTTCTCGATGTACACCAGGTCCGTCTCCATGGGCTTCTGGTAGCTGCGCAGCTGCTTGATGCGTAGGAAGGTGGGCTGCCGCAGGCGGCTGGCCCGGACCGCCTCCACCTGCACGGCTGCGTTGTATTTCTCCTTCAGCAGGTGGCCCACCTCTCGGAACTTGGGCAGCGTGGTCCAGCACGTCTTGGTGGTGCACGAGCCTGACACCCCATGACACTTGCACTCCAGCTTCATGCGGTCCTCCAGAACCTGTGGGCGACACAGCTTTGCTCAGGGGAGCGGGGCATGGGCACCCTCTGGGGTCCCCCTGCCTCCCCCCGGCTGGCCCTGAAGTGGCTCCTCCTCTTCGGCTGAGTGACCACGGACAAGTATTAGGGTCTCCAGGATCTTGAGGACGTGATGGAGCTTGGTGTGTGTTTAGCAACTGTACTCAGCGTGATCAAAACATACGGTGAATGTTTAAATTTTAAATGATTTATTCCAATAAAGACACGTTGCTACCAGTCCTCTGCAGTGTTCTCCCTCTTGTGTCAACACACTTAGCCCATTGTTCTTGCCTCTTTCAGAAGCCTTTCTGGAAGTCCTCTTTCCTGTGTGTCTTTATGAGATGTGATTAAAAAATACAGTCAGCACTGCAGCCAAGTACCACCCGGGAAAGGCAGGCTCCTAAAAGACACGAAAGTGTGACCTCACCCACCTTATTCACCGGGTCTGATACCGTGCAACTTCTGGCTCTTCCCCAAAGTCAAAATGACCATAAAAGGGAAATGTTTTTCATCCATTCAGGACATGGAGGCAGCCATGACAGTGCAGCTAAAGACACTCAGGAGAGAGGACTCCAGAACTGCTACAGAAAGTGGCAAGGACGATGGGATGAGTGTGCTCAAAGTAAGGGGGCATGTTTTGAAGGAGATTCATGGCAATGTGCTTTTTACTGTAATAAATTTTTAAAAACTTCTTTTAACCATTCACAGCTGTGTACAGAGCTCAGCACTATGTCAGCACCTTGACAAGAAAACTGAGGCTTGGAAGCTCTAAGCTTGCTACAAGTTCAGGGGCAGCGGGTGGGGAACCCAGAGCAGGGGGCCCAGCACAGCAAGGGCTTGGTAAGCGTGGTGTCCCCTCCCTCCATCTCTCCCAAGTCGGACCTAACACACACTCTGTGGTGGATGCAGGTGGGCCATGGGCCCTGGTCTAGGCCCGGCAGGGGAGTGAGTGCCTGGGTCAGAGACCCAGGAGGCCTGGCCGGCTGGTTGTTGTTCTTTCTCCTCAGCTCCACAGGGCCCCGTGTGGATGCAGGACTATGTTTTCCTTGGGCCTCCCTGGCGGCCCCGGAAGGCCGATTCCCAGAGCCAGCCCTGACCCCAGGTACTCATTTACTCAGATCGAAAGGGCCCTGCCAGCCGGGCCTGATTGAAGATGGGGAATCATTAGCTGCTGCCCCACCACTGCCCAAGGGCCATTTATCAGCTGTCGGGGCTCCCTGAGCCCAGTGCTGCAGGGGCTTGGCCCCCTGACCCTGAGGCCAGAACCCACCATCAGGGGCACTTGCTGCCTGTCCCCAGCTCTGCCCCAGACATGAAGACCCTGGCAAATAATGAATGAATGAATGAATGAGTGAAAGACAAGAGGAAGAGAAACAACCCACAGAGATACCACTGGCCCAGCACCATCCCTGGCCTGGCTGCAGGAGAGATGTCAGAGGGAGCCCTGGGCTCACAGGCCATGTGGGAACCATGGAAATGGACCCACTGTGCAGCAGTGAGTGGTGGCATCTGGTGGGGGCTTCCTGGGGGAGGCGATGCCTACAGTGGGTAAGGATGGATGAATAGGAGCCCATTAGGTAAAGAAGAGGGAGTTTCAGGAGTCAACATGGGCACAGGCTGGGAGCTGTCAGCCACCAAGCCCCAGTGTCCCCGAGCTGTGTGTGCTGGACGAGCAGGAGGAGGCTGATGCCCCACCAGGGACAGCTGAGAGTGGGGGGCGAGGGAACAGGTTTGGGGAGCAGCCAAAGTAGATCGCAGGCTGGGGGCGGGGCCAAGGGGTTTCTGGGGACAGTGAGCCCCTGAAGGAGGGGACTGGACCCCTGCCCTCCCCTCCCTCTCTGCCCATCCATCCACCTTCTCCTGCCCCTCAGCCCACATCTCAGTGCTCACATCTGACCCCTTGCCCGGAAGCCACTCCCTGCCCCCGCTGCCTGGCATCCTGGGAACTTCCCGTGCGACCATGCCACATGTCTGGCCAAGAGTGCCCCTCAGGACAAGGACGCCCTAGGAGCCAGCCAGCCTGGGCCCTCCCTCCTGCCCGCCTGGGCACCGCCAGACCCCTGCAGCCCGCTGGTGATGGTGGCAGATGAAGCCGATTGGACAGGTGGTTGCCAAGCAGGACCCGAATCCTCTCTCGGCTGGGTCCCAGGTAGAGCCTCGCAGGGAAGCGATTACAGGACTCGGGAACGCGCTGTTTTCTTTTCCAGCACCCTCTCCATCATGGCGACAGTGGTGCCAAGACTTGGCAGGCACCTCAGGGCACCAAGACAGCCCTTGTACCCGGGAGACTACAAGGAGCTGGGGGCTTATCCAGGGCCCCTTCCCCAACTGAGTTCCCCTGCTGTGGGGTCCAGTCAGGGATTCTGGGCTACAGAGTTGATGCCTCGCTGTGCCTAGAATGAGGGTGTGGCCTGGGTTGGGAGCAGGGCTCAGTTTCAGCCAGGCTGGGGACTAAAGTCCTTTAGGGAAGGCTGTCAGCCAGGGAGCCTGCCATCCAGTGCTCACCCGGCCACCGGCAGGGAAGAGCCTGGGGCCACCAAGCGGCTCCCCATCCCGTGCTCCCTGCCCTAAGGGGCGACCTGAGGCTGCCTAAATTGGTCTTGCTCTCCAACCTCAGGCCACTGCAGTAACAGATGGTGGCTGTGTGGTCCCACCAGCCCGGGAGGAATTACCTTTCCTAAACCTTGGGTTTTCGTGGTACCATGGGGAGAAAACACCTGTCCAGCATGCCTGCTGCAGGACCAGCTGTGGGGGGGCCAGCCCCCAGCTCACAAAGCTGCTGTCCTTGTCACAATAGCTTCCAGGCTGTGTCACCAGTGAGAGGGAGCCAGCACGCCCTGGGCCATCCCAGGCCTTTTCTGCGGACACACTCCTGCCATCCCCAGGTCAGTATGGAGGAAAGAAAAGGTAGCCACCATCCACCATGGCCTCCATCTGCCTACAGCCCTGCCCTACACTGCGGCGGGGCCACGCACCCGGGATGGAGGAGCCAGTGGGCATCTTGCATTTGTGCCCACGCACCTCAGGGGATGAGTGGAGAGCCTGGCACTCATTATAGTTCAGCATAGCCTGGGAGGGGGCACAGGAGGGGCAGGTGGGGCCAAAGCAGCCCTGCATGTCTTAGCCAGTCTGACCCGACCCCATCAAGGGTGCCATTCCGCACGGCCAGTGTGGAGGGTTAGGCAGTATCTCCCCCATTCACATCCTCTGGGAACCCTGGGAGGTGGCCTTACTGGACACAGGGTCTTTGCAGACGGAACTAAGGTAAAGGAGATGATGTGATCGTCCTGGACTCAGGTCCTAAATCCAGAGGGGAAAGAAGACAGAGTCAGGGAAGCCACACGGTCACGGAGATAGGCTGCACGGATGGTGCCACTGCAGCCCAGGAACACTGCATGGGACCCGACTCTCCCTGGACCCTCCTTCCCTGGCCAGGCAGCTGCCAGGACCTTCCATCCTCCCTTTCCCAGTCCTCTGTTTCCCCGGGTTCCTGTGCCTTTGTATCACCTATGAGTCCCAGGCCAGGTCAGCCCCAGGCCCACGTGGACTCCAGCGCTCCTAAATTCCACAGGATTTTAGCTCCTCAAGCTGGTCTGCACTCTGCCCTGGGTCCCTGGAGTAGCCACTCTGGCCCAGTCTCCCTCAGGCCCTTCCACCATGGTGTTCCTACCTCAGCTAGCTGGCTATGAACTGAACACTCTGAAGCTGTGAGCCAAATTAAACCATTTCCTCCTTGACATCCTGCCCATCAGGCATGGTGTCTCAGAGCCGGGAAAGCTGACCAATGCTGGATTCCAGGAGGATTCAGTTTGCCTCCTCCATCTGCCTGGGCACAGAGACTTCCTTCCTCTGCTGGCTGGCTGGGAGCTCCTGGAGGCCACCCTCCATCATTCATTCCCCATTCATTTGTTCATCCAGGCCATTCATTTATGTGGCAATAACTTAAAGTTACCTGTCCATAGGACACCCTACACATCAAGCCCCCTGCTTCCTTCTGGGCTCATCCCACCCCCTTCCATTCTCCCACCAGCCTTAAACGTCCTCCAGTGATGGCCCTTTTTTGCCTCTACTCTGTGTGTTAAGGGCCCAGTTCCAAAGCACCTGCTCCAGGAAGCTGAGCCCTCCCCCAGCCTCCCGGGCCCTCCTTGCTCCTGGGTGTGAGTCCTGCACCTCTCATGTGGGCCCAGCCCCCATAGCTGGGGCCATAGTAGCCTCCTCTCTGCCTAGTACCTGACTCAAAAAAGGGACAGCAAGTGTTCGTTGAATGAACGAGTGACTGAGGCCAGTTGTGGTCATGGTACCGAGGGATCCTTCAGGCCCTCTTCGCCTGGAAAGGCAGGTGGGTCCCAGGTCCAAGAAGCCCCTCAGGCCCCATACCTGGGTGTGGCCCCAGGGCTGGGGAGCCAGACCCTGAGGTGTTCCACTCCACTGGCTGCTCTATCTCGGGCCATCTTGCCGCCTGCTGGCCGCTCCTCCCAGCCTGGTATCTGGGGCCCTCATCTACCACAGTGCAGCCTCAGGGCTCACCCTGACTTCTTCCCCAGTGTGTCTGGACTGAATTCCCTCCATGACCCCCAGGCCACCCGCCCCATCCTGCAGCCTCTGCTCCCTCCTCCAGGCCCCAGGCTCTGCCTGCACCAGGCTCCACTACAGCTCTGAGGTCCTCAGGCCACTCCTGACTCCCGGATGTCCTTGGCCCTCCCCACAGCAGCCTGAACCCAGGAAGGCTGCCTCCTCCAGGAAGTCCCTGCAGTGGGCTGGCTGGCTTCCGGGACAGGACAGGACAGGACAGGACAGAACAGGACAGGGGTGGCATCCTCCCGCCTACCTTGCGGCCGGCTTCGTTGTTGTGCAGGTTCATGAGCCGCCGCGCGTTCTTCTTGATCTCGCGGGCATCTACGAAGCGGCGGGAGAAGTCGATGCCATAGCGCACATCAGCGGAGCAGCCGCCCCACTTCCAGCCCTCTGCCTGGTTGTAGTAGCCCTGCTTCTCCCGGTCACAGCCGCAGTTACTCAGGTTGCCCTGGCTGCAGGCGGCTGTGACCGCGTGAGCCACGCCGGCTGCAGTGATGGCATAGGTGAAGGCGGCCTCACGGCTCCCTGCAGGTGAAAACAGGGTGCGTGTTGAGGCCCCAAGGCGTGAGTTCCCTGCTCACTAAAGCAATGGTGAGACCAGCACCTGGCATACAGCAGGCACTTAATGCATGCTGTGTCCCTCCCCAGGCCCTGGCCTCCTGACTTTCTCCTCTCCTCCCAACCCTGGGCCAGGGGCAGGGGGCCCTGAACTGCCCGGGCCTGGGCACTGTGCCTCCCTCCCCAGCCATTGGCTCCTTCCAAGGGCAGCCTGGCAGGCCTCCCCCCAGTCCCTTCGCTGGCTCCCCTGTGCTGGCAGAGCCCAGCCCTCAGCCCAGTGCCAGCTTCCTCTGACCAGCCTCTTCCTGGAACAATGGCACCATCCTGCCAGATGCTGCCCACATCTTCTCGTAGATTTCCTGGACTTTGTGGCAGAAGGCTCAGCTCCAGTGCCTCCTCCTCCAGCCAGCCTTCCCAGATTCCCAGCCCCAAAGGAGCCCTTGCTGTTCAACCCCCCTCACAGCCTGGTGTGACCCAGAAAGGGGCCCTTCCTGCCTGGTTAGCCTACAGGGCCCAGCCCTAATTTCTTCACCTTCCACGCCCCAGGCTAGGCCCTGTGTGTCTCCATGTCCTCGGCACCTGGAGCTGTGTAAGCCCCAGCAGGCTCACGATTGCCACCTGGAGAACCGGAGTCAGACACTGGCGGTAGGCAACACACACGGCTGTCTGAGCAACAGACAGACCAGGGCCAGGGCCAGGCACCACCTGGGCAGCGGCACCCAGGACTCGGTCATGGTACAAGCCCTGTCCAGTGCCCACCAGCACCAATACCCCTGTGTGCCTGGCCGTGGGCCCCCTGCTGGGGGTTGCAGTGGATATCCCGATCAGAAAAGGTCAGGCATCAAATCAGATCCATTCCACGAGCATCCACTGAGCACCAACTGCACGCCTGGCCTTGTTCCAGCGGCTGACCATGAGCTCTGGGGCCCAACTCCAATTGGAGGATGCTGGGGCCCCTTCCCCAGGGTAGCTTCCATCAGGGGGAGGACCAGGGTGGGCCAGGGCCAGGAGGCTTTGGTGAGAAGACCAAAGGCTGAGAAGGGCATCCCTTCCTCTCCAGTGAGACATAGGTGCAGCGTCCCCGCCTGCTCCAGCCGGGCCCACTCGGCACCTTGGCAGCCCGGGCCACACCTCTGGTGCACACTCCACAGAAGGCCGTCTCTATCCCTGCTCTGAGGGGCTGTGTGGCCAGCATCCCTCGTGGAGGAGTCCCAGGTCCCCGTGGTGCTGAGAGCTGACTGGAGCCGCAACAGACAGGACAGGGTGCAGAAGCGACAGGAAGAACGCAGAGCCCACATCCCTGGGTCCCATGGAGGCCAAGAGGGTCTGCAGAGAAGCCCAGCTTGGAGGAGGCAGCTGAACTCCCTGCTCTCCAGGGACCTAAGCCCAGCAGGGACAAGGACAGGCTGCCCTGGGTCCCCAAGGAATTCGGGGACTCCAACAAAGGTCTCTGAGGGGACGCCGAAGGGTGTCCTGGCAGCCACAAAACAAGTCAGCCAGGGGGTGGATGACCCCCAAGGAGTGTGTGTGTGCGTGGGATGTACATGGTGTGTGTGTGAGTGTGCAGGGGGTGTGGAGCATGTTATACACGTACACATGTCGTGTGTTTGTGTGTGTCTGTGTGTGTGTGTGTGTGTGTGTGTTTGTGGCCTATGTCCGAGGGCCCCAGCAGGACATGGCAGCCACAGTTCACTGAGGCTGGAGCAGTGGGAGGTAGCAGTGGGTGGGGCCAGCACAGTGGTCCAACCATCTTGGGGTGCAGCATACTTCCTGCACAGGTGCTGTCCAGAACCGGACACAGAGCTTGCCCTGGCTACACAGGCAATAGGCTTTGAACTCCTATGTGTGTGTGTGTCTGTGTGGGGTACTGAGGGCCTTTGCTATACCCCCAAACCTTTTCTTTACTTCTTTATTTTGATACAGGCTGTTGCTAAATTGCCCAGGCTAGGCTTGAACTTGTGCTTCAGCCTCCTACGGTGCTGGCATGACAGGCGTGCACCACCGAGCCTCCCTGGAGTTGGGACTCTTGAGAAGCAGCTCACAGAGCCAGGGCCACTGTCATCATCAGAGCCCACACTCCCACATCTGCGCCCCTGTGTTCTCACAGACCCCCGTAATCATCGGACGAGGTAGGTCTGGTCACTGTCCCATTTCACAGATGAGGAGACATAGGCACAGGTGGCCTGGAACCAAGCATGAGTGACTGAAGCAGGATTTGAACCCAGGCTGTGATTTAAAGCCCAGAAAGGCTAGGAAGGGACTGTGGGCCTGGCCACAGGTCCCTAAAAGCCACTGTGCTAGAAGCATGGCTCCTGTGTGGCCCTGTGACCTTGGGCAGGAGGGGACAAGAGCAGGGATGAGCTTCAGGCCTTGAGGTACAGGGACCTGGCCAGCAGGCATACTCTGGGTGGGGGTCCTAGGGGGCTGAGCTGGCCTCCCAGGGTGGAAGTGTCCCAGCAAGGGCCTGAGAGGGATCTAGAAAAGCCAGGGATCAGAATCATGCAAGAGGCCAGCGGAGCTGTCAAAAGCCCCCAGCAAAGACAGAGGAGACTGTCAACTTCTCCCCCGACCAGGAAGAAGGTCCCGGGGTCCCCAGCCCCCATCCTGTCCCAAGCTCAGACTCAGTTACTCACTTGTTACTCATCCGCCTGCCCTTCCCACTAATTCCTTTTTTATTTGGATTTAATGAGCCCAGCCCATGCCCCTCCAGTCCTGAGGTGGGAGTGAACAAAACAGAAGCTGTTTGGAGAGCATCAAGGACAACACAGGGTCTGCGAGAGGTGCAGCCACAGATTGCGAGGTTTGGGGCGCCTGACACTCCGCACGTGGTGTCTCAGTTGATTCTCACACCAGGGAGGAGCTCCTGCCCCATTTTACAGACAGGGTGAGGACTTCACAGCCCGCCCCACAGTGTGCCTGGGTGCGGATGGGGGTGGGCGGGGCAGGGTCCCTCCCAGAATTGTTCCTGTTTCCTGCTGGGGCTCCTGCTTCCTACCATGCTCCTTCTAAGGTGCTAATGAGCCAACACTAAGATTTTTTTTGAGACAGGTTCTCGTTAAGAGAGAACTCACGTATAGTCCAGGTTGGGCTTGAACTCGAGGTGATCCTCCTGCCTCAGCCTCCCCAGTGCTGGTATTACAAATGTGCACCCCCACATCTGCCTGTGAATACTTAGATTTGAAAGAACTGATCCTTTGCAGGAGATACAGTCTGGAGCCAAGGACTTCACTCAACAATTGTCAATAGCTCCTAAGGCCTCTGAGAGTGATTTCCAGTGGCCCAGCCTGGTCCCCAGGGATGTTGAGGCTTGACCCCTCTGTCCTCAACCATTTCTTCCTGCAGCCCAGAACAGCCACCTGCAGCCCAGGGACAACCTGTGGCAAAAGGAACCCCAGTCTCCTCCTGCCCATTTTGGAGGACAGTGGTGTTCCCTGTCCACACTCCTGTGGCCCAGGCTCTGGACACAGCTGGGACACCCCGCCTGCAGAATGCCCATCCTGGCATGTGACCCTCACCTGGCATCAGGGCAGGCTCCATGTGAGCTTCTCACCCAGACCCAGCCCGTCTGGGCTAGGTGCATTCCCAGCCCCTTACCATCTCCATGGCAATCCAAGAAACAGATGGTGTTAGCAGATCCATTGCACAGGTGGGAACACTGAGCCTCAAGGCCAGAGGGGACCCACTCCAGGCTGGGCTGCTGTCACTGAGCTCTGCGGTGCCCCAGGTGTGTTGGGGAGAGGGGGTACATGGGGCAGCACAGGGGGCAATCTAGGGATGGGTGTTGGTCACACATTGCCCACTGTAACCCACAGCCCTTCCGAGCCCGGGGTAGGGTTCTGGGCCCTCAGGACCCCTGACACAGGGCCTCCTGTCTCTCTCTAGACCCAGGCAGGTGGGGGCACCTCAGCTCTAGGAGGGTGGAGAGGGACTTCGAGGGACTCAGGGTGGGGGAGCGCCAGACTTGGATGTCTCCTGCTGTGTGGGCCTGGCAGGCCACAGTCCTCTCAGTGCTGGTCCCCATGCACCTGATGGAGCTGGCAGCCCTCACCTGTCCCAGGCCCAAACACCAGAGCTGAGAGCAAAGGAGACAAATGGCACTGTCCCCTGGCATGGAGATGGCCAGCTTGGGAACTGGATGCATGGCATCATCTAGGACAGGCCAGACTGGAGACAGCTTCCTATGAGGCCACCCCATTACCCCTGCCACTGTCCCTCCAACATTCACATTCCACGGAAAGCTGGACATGGAGCAGCAGCACCCTGGGGTCACTGCCACTCAACCCAGCTCTTTGCTTAGATTATTCAGACCCAAGCCCTCCCAGAGCCCATAGGCCCTGGTGCCAGAGCAAGGGCCTCAAGCTTCTGCACCCCAACCTACCCCCAGCCCTGGGAAGCACTGCCAGGGCCCCAAGGACCTCTCTGAACAGCAAAGTGTCACAGCAGGGCTCCCCAGCCCTCCTGGCCACCCCCAAGCCACTGCACAAAGCTACCTACCATATCCTGGCGTTGCAGGGGCTGCTACACTATTTTGAGAGAACATAAAAGGCATAACTGAGCTCATAATGGCCCGATTAACTGCACTGGGGAAGCTGGGCCCTTGGTGCCCCTTAGAAGGGCAGCCAGGACTTGTGAAATTCCAGGCTGGGAAGGGCCTGGGGGATGGTCCGGTGCTCCTAGTCCCCAGCAAGGGGCCCAAGGGCCAGAGAAGGGCAGCACAGAGCCCAGGTCACCTAGCAGCTCTGGAAATGGGGGAGTAGGGCCTGGCATGCTAAGGTGACCCAGGGAGGGCAACCCTGGAGCCACACAGGGCCTCAGAGTCCTGGAACCAAGAGACCCAGGGAAGGGGGCTCGGAGTCTGACCCTTGAGCACAAATCACATGCTAAGATGGGCAACTGGGCGACCTTGAACTGGTGGCCAAGGGGACTTTCTGTGTCCCTGTGTCCCTGACTGAGAGAGGGCAATCTCTGCAGTATGGCCAGGACACCTGTTCTGGAGGCAGGCTGGCCTAGCCTCAGCTCACACGGTGACACACGAGTCTTCACAGGGACTGCGTGCACCTGCAGGCACCCCAGGATTGTGCACCTGGCTTTGCTCAAGCAGCCATGTATGTGTCTACACTGTGGCTGACACAGCTCAGCCCACCCTCCTCTGCCAACCTGGATACAACTCCCTCTTTTAAAGAAAATATGACCCTTACTGTGACTCAATAAAAAAGCAAACGACCTGGGCCGGGGATTTAGCTCAGTGGTTCCACCACCTGCTTTGCAAGAGCAAGGTCCCTAGTTCAATCCCTGGTACCAAAAAAAAAAGCAAACGACCCAAGTGAAAACGGGCAAAGGGCCTGCACAAACACTTTTCCAAAAAAGACATCATTAACTGTCAAGGCCACTCAGCTCAAAACCACAGAGATCTGGTTCCTTCCCACCCACCAGGATGGCAAAAGTAAAAGACCAACAACAGCAAGTGTTGGGGAGCACTCCAAGGAATTGGGGCCCCACAGGCTGGTGGGGTGTGGAAGGTGCTGTCGCTGTCGGGGAGCTCACGGCACCCAGCAATCCACCCCTAGGGACAAACTTGAGAAAATGAAAACACACATCACACAAAGCCTTGTACACACATTCACAGCGTGTTATTAACCAGTGGGTGAATGGACAAGGAAAGGCCGTGTCTCCATACTGTAGATCATGGCTCTGCCTTAAAAAAGGAAGGTAAGATTGATACAGAGACCTTGAAACCATTGTGGTAAGTGAAAGAAGCCAAACATGAAAGGCCATATCCTGTCTGATTCTACTAGCACGACAGCTCATAACTAACTTCCTTTCTTCCTTCCTTTCTTCTTCCTTCGTTCCCTCCCTCTCTCTCTCCCTTTCTGTGGTACTTGTGACCAAACCCAGGGCCTTCGAAATGAGCTACATCCCCAGCCCTTTCTTACATTTTTTTATTTTTGAGGCAGGGTCTCTCTTGCTATATCAATAAGTGGCCCAGGCTGGGCGACAACTTGCTACCCTCTTGACTCAGCCTCCCGAAGTGCGGGGATTACAGGAGTGCACCACTGCACCTGGCTAGGTATGGGTTGGTGGGTTTTTGTTTTTTGAGGAGGGGGTGATGAAAATATTCTAAAATTGATTGTAGATGTCTCCCACTGTGGGACTTTGAGGCAGGCGGATTTCAAGTTAGAGCCAAGCCTGGGCAACTAAGAAACTTAGCAGGGCCCTGTGTGAAAAAGAAAAGGCCCTGGAATGTAGTTGAGTGCAATGGCTCTATGCTCAGTCTCTAGCACTGCACTCAGTAAGTCAATCAGACCGTGGTGGGGCCTGAGCAACTCCTGGATGTACTAGAGCCGTCGAGTGGAGGACAGTGTGGGACTGCGTGGCCTAAGCACTGTTAGGGGGCATCCGATGGTTTTAGGCCCTGCTCTGCCCTCATGCTGGCCACATCAGTATGATGCAGGTCCCCACCTGGCAACTAGGACCCAGTCCTGGCAGAGGCAGATGAGTGGCCTGGGGTCACACCAGGTGACCTGGGCCCCCAGCATCCACCCCCAGCCCACTGCCCACCTTCCAGACAGGGAATGCCTGCCCTCTGAGTCCTCTCATCCTTCCCCTGCCCGGTCCTGTGTGTTCCCGGCACCCCCGGAGCCCAGCCCCAGCCCCCAGCAGCCAGGACTGACAGGCTGCAGTGCTGCCCCAATTTAAGTTTAAGGGTCCCATGGAGAGGCCGCTACAAGGGTCCTGCCAGGTGGAAAGACAAGATGCAGCCCGGGGGTGCAGCCCCAGGCCAGCAGGCAGGTGGGTGTGGGGCTCCCCCTGCGGGCTGGGGCGGCTGGTGTGGCTGTCACCCAGAGGAGGGTGCCGAGGGCCATATTTGGGGAAACTGAGGGCGACCTTGGCTGCTGACAGTTTGGGGTGCCTGGGACACCAAGGTGGGCAAGAGCAGCAGCACTCGAAGCTGGCACCAGGGAAACAGCCCCACACTCATGCCAACCCTAGACAGAACACAACTCAAGCTGCAGGGCCCTGGCCCAGCATGCCACATCTGCGCCTCAGTTTCCCAGGTCACAGGGGAGGTACCTAGCTTCCCTTTAAAATCCACCCGCAGCAAGAGGCAGCTGGGGCTGAGCTGGAACCAACACAGGGTGGCCAGGCCCAGAGTCACCATCAAGCCTGAGTCCTGGCCATCCAAGCCCTGACCTCCACCCCAGCCCCCCAGGTCCCCAGGATCCTCATAGGGACGTCCCTGGACCACACCCTGCTGTCACCTCATTGGTGCCAGCCTGTGTCCAGGTGTCACGGGCCTTGGCCCAGAGCAGGCACCAGGGCTGGGAAGAGAAGCCTGGGGCCCAGGCATGGCTCCTCATAAGAAAGGGGCCATAGGTGGTTGGCTCATGGCCCTGTGTATGCAGCTGAGTCAGAGCCTGGAGCTCTCTGCAAGCCCAGCTCAGCTACGGGGTCCTGTCAAGGTCCACCTGGCACCCACGCTTGCTCCTACCCCAGTCAACAGAGGCCACAGCCCTTGGCCTGGCACAGCCTACATGAGTGAACTGACGATTGCTCTGTTCCTGTCCTCAGTCCAGGCCTCGCCCTAGGCCTAGTGGGTGAGCGGGGAAGCATGTACATGTGGGTGTGTATCTAGATGTGTGCATAAGTGTGCATTTGTATGTCTACATGCATAGCATGTGTGCACATGTGAAAGGGTGCGTGTCTATATATGTGTGCACACGTGTACACGTGTCTGTGTAAGTGTGCACGCACGTATCCATGTGTCTGTGTATGCATGCATCTGTGTCTGTAAATGTGCACATGTATATGTGAATGCGTGTGCATGTGGATGTGTGTTGTCCTGAGTCTCTCCACCCGTCTCTCTGTCCTGTCTCTTTCTGTCCCTGTCTCCCAGCCCCGCCCGCCCCGTCTGGCCCTGAGCTGAGTCAGAGTCTCCACACTAAGGTCTTCCCATCGTCGTCATAAACACAGGCCTGCCGAAGCTGCACCAGGTCCAAACACGCAGGCGCCCGCATACCCCAGGCCTTTGTTCCGACCCAGGCTGCCTCACATGCATGCTGCCCCCTGTGGGTCCTGGGCCAGGTGAGCAGGCAGGGTGAGGCAGGGCCAGAGCAGAGCCACATCTCATTCCCCTGTCTCATCTTGGGGCTGCCCCGGGCCCCTCCCGCCCAGGGCTGGTGAGAAAATCACCCCCATCCGTCTGTGGTAATGCAAGAGCCTGTTCTTCCCTATCGGTCGCTGGAGCTCCAGGCCTGGACCCCCACTGGGCAGGGGCTAAGCTGGGCTCTGGGGCTGAGTGCTGGCCTCTCCAGCTCAGTGTGGCCCCAAGCTCAGGCTCCTCAAGAGCTTCGTCTTGGTTTACAATATGCAAACAAACATCACCCGAAGCCAGTGACACTTGTCAGCAGCCCTGGGCCACAGTGAGGACTCTGGAGATGGCTAGAGTTATCTCATCCTAAAACAACAGCCAGAGTCAGGCCAGGAGATGTTTGAGGCCAGCTGGGCCTTGCCCCTCTGGGGGGCCCTGTGGGTTTTCTGCTGCCCTGGTGGCCCAGCATGCTAAGCCCTGGCCTCCTACCCAAGAACACTCTGTGCTGACTGAGTGGAACCACCTCCTCCTTCTGAAGACAGATGAAGTCCTAGGAGTCCAGCCTCAGCCTCTCCTGCACAGGTGAGGACCCCAAGGTCCCCAAGTCACAGGGCTATGCCCAAGGTCACATAGTGGGAGCTGGGGACTGGCCCAGGTGTGCTCTCCCCTCCCAACCCCCCCCCACTCTACTTCTGGTGGCCTTTGAGGGCCTGAGGGTCTAGGGGCAGAGGCATGCTGTTCAGGGCTGCTGTGCTGCAGGCTTCAGCAACACCCCAGGAAGGTCCTCTTCCCCACCTGTCCTACACCACCTCAGGACCCTGGGTGGGCTTGGCGCCTTTATCTGCAGGGAGTTTGACTCTGACCTTCAAGCTCTCAACTGTCCCGGGTCCTGCTGCCTGGATCCTGAGCCTAGGATGTCTGGGCTCAGATGAGGGGGAACATGGGGTCCACAGGGGAAGATGGACAATGAGATCTGGGGCCTGCAGGCTGGGGACGGAACCCCCTGACTGGGGTATGGCCCAAAGGTCTGGGGGCAGGGCCACCTTGAGGCCCCATCCCCAGCCACCATCCATTCACCCAGGGCGTCCTGGGTACAGCCCTGTCCCTGCATGCAGCTGGTGCTCAATGCATGCAGGCTAAACAGTAGCAGGGCTGACAGCACTGCCCTCCCAACCTGCACTGTCCTCAGGAAGCAGCTGGCAGGCAGCCTGTGCCCTTGGCCTGCCCCGCCCCTTACTCAGGACAGTGTCCCGGGACAAGATGTCAGGTCCTAGATCAAACTTCCCCACGGCCTGATCAGGTGACTGGGGCTGCTCCTGTGTCCTCTGAGAGCAGCATCATCTGGTGTCAAGTCACAGGTGTCATCTGAGATTTTCTAGGGGTCATGTTAGCAAAAGAGGAAATGACCAGGGGGACTTAAAGTGGACATTTCATTTAGCCAATCGATCAAGATATCCTCCCTCGAATAAGCAATCAAGATGAAGATCCTTCAAGGAGATTTTGTTTGCTTTTAAAGCCTATCGTGGGTCTCACACTGCAGCACACTCCGGCTGCACACAGGAGACCTCTGTTACTGAGGCCCGCATCCTTGACACCCCGGTCACCTGAGCCTCCCCCGGGACTGTGTGCCTCACACCAAAGCCACAGCTGAGCCCCACTGAGGTGGTACTGGACTCAGGGCTCCCAAGGCCACCCAGGAAACGAGGCCCGTGCAGACCTCACCCACAAAGCGACTGCAGTGCAGACAGCAGCAGCGATAGCGGCTACTCCGTGGCCCCAGGCCGCTCACATGAGCGGGGATTAGGGTGGCCCCTATGCCTGGTCATGTCTAAGGCCGGCACATGACAGGCAGGGCTCCGCCTTCCCTGGCAGCCAGGTGGGGCTGTGCCGAACACAGCTATGGCCTGGCCTGGGCTTGTGGGTCCCAGGGGGAAGCTGCTAGGCACAAGGGGATCAAGTCAGCTCAGGGAGCCCAGAATAGGCAGCACCCATGGGTCTCAGGGCGAGGCTAGCACAGGGTCTTCATCTAGCTTCTGGGAGTAGTGAGCACCCCATCCCTGGAGGTGTACAAACCACTGCACCAGGCTTTGGGAAAGGGAGCAGAATTCTGCACGGGGGTTGATTGCCAGTTAAGAGGTTCCCTTCAGCACTCAAGATTTAGGGCTGGCCCAAGGTCACAGGCAAGGCCTGCAGGGACTGTCCCACTCTTGGGGACAATCATTAATGGGCACCGCTTGAGCGGCCATTCCCACGTGTGCCCCAGCGCCCCGCCACCTTGTGGCCAGGCTCCTGACTGTGAGCAGCAACCAGCACACCTCTGACATGGGCCACCTCATGGCGCGGGTCACGTGCTGCCCGTGTCCGCCAGCAGCTGTGTCCTCCTCGAGGGACGGCAAGACCCGCCTGGGGTGTCAGAAAGTCTGCCTGGTGCAGGCTGTGGGGCCAGACCCCTGAGGATGGTGGGGGAGGACGAAGCCTCAGGATGGGGTGAAAAGTCATGGCTCAACAGGTTGGGGAACGGAGGGGACAGAAGGGGTCAGTTATGGGAGGGGCTACTGAGGTTCCGGGCTAAGGAATTAACTTTGTCCCAAGAAATAGGGAGCTACTGCAGGTTCTGGAGCAAGGAGGTGACATGGCATGGCTTCTGCTTAACCCAGTAACAGGCTGGTGGGCTGGCAGGAAAGGGCCAGAGAAGCAGGGCCAGCAGTGCCATGAGCAGGGTGGGCAGTGGCAATGACACCAGGTGTTGCAGCAGGGCAATGACCTTGGCATGGTGGATGTAAGCAGCAGATGCTGAGCTATAGAGCCAGGAGCTCCCAGGGTTGGTAGGACCTAGAGCAGTGGGCGAGAGGGGAGAGGGGCTGGGTGCCAGGCGGGAGGACCCCCAGCAGGGCCAGGTGCGGAGCAGCCAGGGAGATGGGGGGGGGGCGGGTACAGCAGAGGCAGGACAAAGACTGAGGCACTCAGGGGTTTAGGGGCAGTAGAGCAGCCCCCCGAGACAAGGGCTGCCTTTTACTTCCTCCCATCAGTGCCTCCAGGGACCCCAGGCTTCCTCCCAGGAGGGACCAGGCGTGATGCTCAGCTCAGCACGATGATCTGGGACACCATGTGTGCTCACTGCAGGGCAGGCAGCCGTGTTACCCGGGAGGGACAGCCTAGAGGAGCCAGGCATTCTCTGGGGCACTGGGGCCTCTGCCCATGCCCAGGGTGGCTGCCACAGAGTGAGGAAGACCAGAAGGGGTGGCAGACACCCAGATCCACACAGCTCCCCATTGTGTGGTAGCCAGTGGCCTGGAGACTCCCCCTTGGCCTCAGTTTCCCCGGGTGGGAGTGGGGAACAGGAGAGGCTGGGCATGAAGGTGGGCACCAGCCGGCACCTGGAGGGATGGAGCTGCACTTGGGTGGCACAGCCTGGGGGAGGGGGCGGGCCTGCCCTCCTGGCCGTGCCAGGTGCCACCCACAGCTGCTCACCGCAAAGGGGCCCTCAGGGGCTTTCCCTGGTACCACCCCAGCCCCACGCCTGCGTTCCCAGCCCTGCAGAGCCTGGCGTTGGCCTGAGTCCCGGCAGCTGTGGTCCTGCTCGGTGGCCCGGGCTCCTGGGATCAGAAGGTCGTGTTGTGCCCGCAGGCTGGGCACCTGCAAGCCTGGCACTGAGCACCCCCATCTGACCCTCCCAACAGCCTGCTGGGCAGGCAAAGTGCTGCTCCTCCCTCATGCCTCCTGCAGCAGTTTACTGAGCACCTGGCACACGCAGGCACAGGGAGAGGCCATGGGAACACAGACAAGGACCTGCTAGCTCAGAGCTCCTGTCACAGATGAGAAACTGAGGCCCAGAGTGGCGCTGGGGACATGCTAAAAGGTCACACAGCTAAATTCAACCCAGGTCAGTATCCAGAAGTCACGTTTTTCCTCTAACCTACTCTGGCTGCTCTCAGGACCCTTCCTGGGCCTCAGTTTCCTTGTCTATAAAATGGGTGTGGTGAAGCCTGTCCCCAGGACGTGAGAACCGGGGGAGGCTGTGTGATCCCCAGGACCGGGCCATCAGCACAGACTGTGCGACCCTCACTTGGCACATCCTGGTGAGTGCTGCCCACCCCTCTCCAGCCATCGTCATCATGTCCCCAGGCTCACGAGTTCCCTTTGCTCAAATCCCTCCTAGAGTCAGTTCCAGTCCTCATCAAGCCTGCAGTGACACCACGCAGTACGTGCCACCCCATCCCTCTGGCGGGGTCAGAAGTGGGGTGGAGCCAAGCAGCAACCCTGGGTCTAGGCGGCTTCTGGGCACCTGGGACACGCTCCACCCCCGCCCCACCCCCTCACCACCAGGTTCCTGCACCCATCAGGGTCCCCCGCCCCACGGCCCAGAGGCAGCACCCTCTGCACATGCGTGGCTACTCGCTGGGGGCCTCCTTCCTGCACAGGGTGGTGTCCAGGGGCCCCCATGGCCAGGCCTGGACAGGACCAGTGGCAAGGAAATCGGTCACTGGGAGCCGTGTGCAGGACAGCAAGCATGGCAGCTGGGTCTGGCCTGGCCTAGGGGACACTGGGCACCTGGCCCCTGCTCTCTACTCCCAGCCAGCCTGAGAGCTCGGAGGTACCCTTACCTACACGGAGCTCTTGTCCAAAGACGGTCTTCTCGCCGAGGGCGGAGCAGTTCCAGCGGCCAAAGCGGAACTGGTACTGGCACTCATTGATGCCCATCTGTGCCCCCTCCCCAATCACGATGATGGCATCGGGCCGGCTCTGGCAGATGGCACGCTGCCGCGGGGCCAAGCCAGGAATCTTGTTGCATATGATGTTGGCTCCCAGGGCCACCACGGACGACAGTGCTCTGCAGAGGCAGGAAGAGGAGACAGGAATGAGCTGGGCAGGCAGGCGGCAGCTGGCAGGGCGGACTCCCAAGCAGGCAGACAGGTTGGCAGCCAAGCCCCCATCCTGGCGCTAACTCCAGCCTTAGCTCTTGCGTGAGCTCAGGAAGGCTCTCAGCCTCAGTTTCCACATCCAAGAAACAGGCGTCTGACACATCTGTGTCCAGCAGCAGTTGGGCACAGACAACCCCAGGAAAAAGGCAGGCCGCCTAAAGGACGGGCTGCTGACTTTGCCTTCCGGCCTCTGGATGCCTGGTACCCACAGGAGGAAGCAGAGCTGATGCCAAGTGCACACCTACTGTGTGCCAGGCATGGCAGGTGCCACCTTGCAAGAGCAAGTCCTCCCAGCTGTCCCCCAAGGGCACCTTTGTAATAAATCCAGCAACTCCCAGGCAGGAAGACACTTGCCAAGCTCGCCCCAAACCAGAGCTACTATGGACCCGATTGTTTGTTTGTTTTTCTAATGAGGTGAAATTCACATAACATAAAATTAACCAGTTTTAAAGTATACGGTTCTGCAGCATTTAGTATATGCACGGTGTTGTGCAACCACCGCTTCTATCAAGTTCCAAGATATTTTCATCACCCCAAAAGGAAACTCTGTACCCATTAGCAGGCACTCCCCCCCACTCCCCACCCCAGCCCCTGGCAACTAACTACTAATCTTCACTGCTTTCCCACGGATTAGCCTGTCCTGGACACTCTGTGTGGATGGGATCTCACAATACGTGGTCTTTTGTGTCTGGCTCTTTTCACGCAGTGGAATGTTTTCAAAGTGTATCCACCTCAGAGCCTGCAGCCGCACTTCCATCCTCTTTAAGGCCGAGTACTATTCCATCACACTGTGGGCTGCGTCTCATTTATCTGTTCATCTCACACACACCTGGCTGGCTCCTCGTGGCTGTGGATTGCACCAGGGGTGCAAGTTTCCACCCAAGTCGAGTCCCGGTTGAGACCTTTCGGCGGCACACAGCTGGGAGTGGAACTGTCGGACCATATGGTCGTTCTTTATCCTTCTAGAGACAGACGCCAGCAGCTTTCCACAGTGCTGCACCAATTGTTCAGTTTCAGCACCCGGAGAAGAAACATCAAGATAGGAGCAGGGAAGGGCTGGATGCAAAACAGCATCGGGCTTCTAAGCAACAGACCGGAGCTGCTTGGACAGGGGATCAGCAGGGCCCCCAAAGCTGCTACCCAGACCAGGGCCCCCTCCTGCCTGAGAGAAACCAGGCAGTGTTTTTCCAGGATGCTGAGCACCCCGAGCAGCTGCACAGTCTCAGCGTGGCCTGAGTCCCCAGCACGTGCCACAGCCAGGACACTAGATCCCTGGCCTGCCCGCTCCACCCACTAAGCTGGCTGAGACCCCCCGGGTCTCTCCCAGGCACAATGGGTGGCCACACCCCAGGTTGGCGTTGAGGAAGGGCATCGGACGGGTGGGGCTGGGAGCGGGCTGGAATCTGGAGAATTCAGCCCAAAGTAATTGTAGATGCTCAGAAACCAAGCAGGCGAAATGAGCTGGATGGGAACTGGTTGGGCACCGGCCACCACCTCGGGCTGGAGTGGCTTTGATTTGGACCTAAAGGAAGCTCCTGGTTGCCAAATTCCCCAGCCAGCAGGTCTGGGCTGCAGAACCCTCACTTCCTATGGAGAGAGGAGCTCTCCTGGCCTTTGGGGACGTGAACCAGACTGAGGGAGGATGGGCACAGGGACAGACCAGGGCTAAGCCACACACAACCAAACGCCTCAGCTGAGAGGGGCCTGGAGACACATTTCCCTGGGGAAGACACACGAATGGCCAGGAAGTCATGCAGAGAGCCTCACGCTTGACTGGGGAAAGCAAATTAAAGCCATACCAACCCGCATGGTGGCAGACACCTGTTCCCCCAGCACTCTGGGAGGCTGAAGCAGGAGGATCGCAAGCTAGAGCTCAATCTGGGTACCTTAGCAACTTATGGAGACCTTGTCTCAGAATAAAGAAAGAGTTAGGGATGGAGCTCAATGTGAAGGCCCTGGGTTCAATCTTCAGTCCCGTGGACAAAACAGCCACTGGGACTGGAATATTTGAAAACAAGAAAGCGGGAAAGTCATGTGTCAGTGAGGACATGGAGAAACAGGGTCCTTTTGTGCTGCAGGTTGGGCAGTCACCCTGTGGCTGCTGTAGACAACAGTTTACAAAGCACTCAACAGAGCTACCCAGCAATTCTTCTCCACAGAGATCCAAAGGAAGTGAAGACTCAGGAACAATGTGTACACAAGGGTTCCTAGCAGCACAACTCACATCAGCCAAGGGGTACAAATAACCCTAACGTCCACGGAGAGAGAAGCAGACAACATATGGTATATCCACATAGTGGAATGTTACTTGGCCACGAAAAGGAACACAGTACAAAATCACGTTGCTGTGTGTGGAAAACTCAAAAACATTATACTGAGTGAAAGAAGCCATCCACTGTCTTGTTCTATTTCTATGAATAGGCAAATCCAGGGAGACTGAGAACAGAACGGTGGTTGCCATAGCTGGGGGGAGGCAGGGGTGGTGGGTGTGCAGTTTCCAACCAGGATGATGAAAATGTTCCAGAACTGACAGAGGAGGTAGCTGCACAACCTGGTGAAGGAAGGAGCTGCACTGGGCACCGTGGAGTGGGAAGATGGTGGGTTCTATACTATGGCCATTTAACCAGTTCTTAAAAATTATCACAGCACACAGGACTGTACCCCGATGTGGAGTGGGACATGAGTCCTGGGGCTGCAGGGCAGAGGACCTAGCACCAGCCACCCCAGGAGCCGGCACAAGGGTTAAAGGGAAGGAGAGACCGGCACACAATCAGATACACCCGGGGAGGCGAAAATTGTTCCAAGCTGTCTCCCTTTGCATTGGGTTTTTCCACTCCTCACAGAAACGCTCGGTCTCTGAGGCCACATAGGCTCTCACTGCTCCCTAACCCTGCGAGTTCTGGGTCACAGGTGTGCAGGCAGGTGCGCAGAGCAGAGGGGCTGCTCTGAGCTCCTGCTGAGGACGGGGAGCCCCGCGCAGGGGCTAGCCCCACTTGTTTTGTTTTTGAGGTACTTGGAATTAAACCCAAGGCCTTTGAGCTGAACTACATCCACAGACTTTCTCTTTTAGACTCATTTTTTTTTTTTTTGGTACCAGGGATCGAACTTGGAGACTTTCTTTTTTTACATGTTTAAATTTTGAGACAGGGTCTCACAAAACTGCCCAGGCTGGACTGAAACTTGTGATCCTCCTGCCTCAGCTTCCGAGAGTGCTGGGATTACAGGTGTGCACGATCGATCCACTCTTTCTTCTCAGGATGAGCTCGAAACAAAATCCTTGAGGCGGTTCTTTCACTCATTCATTCATTGCTGGTGGTGTCCTAGCTGCCCCACACCTGTCCATGCTGCCCCTCCCACACTTAGACCCTCCAGAGGACACAGGGTGACGCACACTGCATTCCAGCAGCAGTGGCATGGAGAGGGAGGGCATGCCCTGGGCACCTCAGCAGGGCCCTGGCAGGGAGACCAGCGAGGCTGAGTCCCTGTGAGCCTGGAGAAGCTGGGCGGGGGCGTTTGTTGCTGACTCTTTCCGTGGAAAATTCTGCTCCAGGCTTGTCCCCTGTGCTGTGCAGGGGCCTCGAGACACAGGCAAGACGCCACAGTTCGAGTCTGGACCCTTTCCTCACCCTGGCCTAGGCCAGGGCCCCAAAAAGAGGTCCGAGGAGGGGTTCCGCCCTGTTGACAAAGGGCAGGAGGCACGACCTCCATCTCAGAGAGGGCTTCCATCATTTATTCATTTACTCATTCACTCATTCACCTGGCAGTGACCGGCTGGGGTGCAGCACACAGGGTGGGGTGAATAAGAGGGAGGCCCTGCTGTCCGTCCATCCGAGAGCCAGGGCCTGTTTGGGGCCTCCTTCTCCAGGGGCCCCCAGGGAGCCCACCCCTCACAGAGCTGTCCCAAAGGCTTCCCCCTGGGGACCCACAGGAGAGGCTGGCTCCCTGCGCCAGTAAAGGCACTCCCCACCCCTTCACATCCCCCACAACCCCTCCCCGGCTGCCTCCAAAGGTCAGGGATGAGGTGTGTCACAGGGCAGGGCCAGTGACAAAGTGCTGACAGGCGGCAGGAGGCTGGGCTCCACCCCTGCTCCTGCCTGGGTTACGGACAAGTGGCTGACCCTCATGGGCCTCTGCTTCCCGTTCCGGGGCATACTGATAATGCTTGCTGGTATTGTTACTGCACTTGGTTCCTGAGCTTTGACACAAGAGTTCAGAGGGGACCAGGGCCCAAGCAAGCACACAGGAGGTGCTGTGTCCCTCGAACCACCAAACACCCCCTCCCTACAGAGCACCAGGAAGTTTAGACTCCTGCCTATCAGGGAGACTCTGGGATGGGGTCCCCCCCTGCAGGACCAGGAGAAGACAGACCCCTCTAGACCCGCTCCTGGCCTATAAGGCGAGAGCTCAACCCTGGCAATTTCTCTGAGGTTGGAGGATGACACCCTCCAGGAGCCCGGGCTGGGCCTCTCAGGGATTAGGGTGCTGCCCTAGAGGAGGGTGCAGCCCTGGGGGTCCTCCTGGTGCGCACCTGGTATAGACATGCATGGACTGTGGTGTTGTAAGCATTTGTTTCTCTTGGGTATGGAGCCACTGGCCTGAGACCACTGGGTCAGGGATGGACCTGTCAGCACTGGGCACAGGACCAAGCGTTATGAGTGTTGCTTTGGTGGTGGCAAGGAGACGCAGTTGGACCAGCTGGGTTCCGACCGGTCCCCAGGCTCAGGCCCAGAAGGTCAAAGGTGGCCACATGTATGATCGTCCTCAGCAGGTGCTACCCGATGCTGTGTGCCTCCCACACATGCCCCTGCCAATAGCTCCGTGACACAGTAGGCCGGTCTCACTCCCACTTTACAGAGCCAGAAACTGAGGCACAGGGAGGAGGTTACCAGCTGTGGACTCCCCAGGGCAG